TTTACTAAAACTGAAGTTTGGCTACATAGAGATAAAGCGTAAGTAAGGTGGTCTAGCACGGATGGGTCCCATTTGCTCTTACCGAGGCAAAACTTTCTCATAAGAATCATCAAAAGCAGTATGGCCTCTTCCAGATTGTTTTTGGGAACATACGAACTATCGACTTGGGAAGCTAAACTGGGTGGGCCAACCTCAACCCCACTATATAGCAAGAAGACTGCAAATGCTTTCTGAATTCTCGCACAACATTCATTATCGAGGTTCCATTGACTAAGTAGGGCCCGGCGGTATGCGGACATTGCTTCTGAATAGCGTCCCGCTTGCTTCCAAAGCTCCGGGAGAAGCTCAACAGCGTGGCTAACAGTTTCTTGAAGCTTAATCTCGACCATCACATCAGGTATACCATTGGCAAATATCTTTTCTACTGCATCAAGCACGCTTTTGCATTCTTGAGCAGCCTCTGTAAAAAAATCAAACAAGTGTAATGTCCAATCAGTACATTAATATGGTAAATCCCAAGTTCTTTTCAGATAGCGAAGAAAACTGAAGGGAGATAACATGAAATTAATGATAAATTACTCTCAGAAACACTACCGGCTGATTTTCCGAGCTTCTGAAGGGACTTGGCTTTCAAATATATGGCCTCGAGCACAAGGTTAGTAGCACCCTGTGACACACCAGATACTAATTCACTGCGAGAACGGCCCTTTTTGGATGGCTGTTTATCACCTAATGCATGTTGCATACGTTGTACGGCTGCTTGAAGATCAATGCCGTCAAACACCCGTAAAGCACCTTCGACATTTCCTCGCTGATATTCTAACTTCCCAAGAAGAGCTCGTGCTTCCTGAAAATAATTCGATAAAGTGTCATTTTTGACACTTACCTTCAATTCAGTAACGAAACAAATAGTAAAGTAGTGGCCAAGACTATTCACATAGAATAAAAGCTATCAAATGATAATACTTGGACAAATTCGTCTAAAAGATATAAACTTACATGCCGACTCAATAATTTAGAAACAAAGCTAGTATAGTTTGTTCATATAATATATCATCGAAGATTCCAGAGATTTCGACTATGGTTATATAATATAAAACTATAAAAATGAAGATATATCATATTGATTTTTGGTAATCCTTTCCGTACAAGAAACACATAGTTTAATCATCCTCATTCAACAAATGCAAAGGTCTCTTTTATTACTTGAAGATAAAGAGGCCAATACTCCAACTACTCGAACTCAAATAAGTTTGAACAGAAATGCATTTATGAAACATGACGAAATGGTATGATACTAATGACTAATTAAGGATCTAAGCCTAACATAAGGAATAGTCTCATAAGCTTCTCAACTTAACTTGGCAATGTTGAAATTGGAACCAGTTCCCCAATAAACAATTATCCCACACGTCAGTGTAGTAAACCCATGTTGGTTGCTTGGTGCAATACATTAAAGTTTCAACTATTGTCAGATGGTGTTATGATATTTAAGAAACACTCTGTTAAACTTCTCTACAGAAAGTTACTATGGTGCTTTACCACATTTTATTCTAACTACTTACGGATTATCAAAATGCGACTCTTGGCTTAACTGATAATCAAATATCTAGAGATACCAAACACTATATGTTTATTACTTATTATCACTCATGTAAATTCAGAACAAGAAAAATAAAAAAACTTGAAATTCGCACCTACATCTGCAGTCAATAGAAACCAACTTCAACACCGAAGTAAGTCTATCAAAGAAACTGAAGCCTACTTAGCATGCTTAATGCAATCTTATCTCGTTTCTTACACCATAAAATCATATCATCATCCAGCTACAAGTAACATTAGCTAAGGTCAACAGATTATATAATGACAGAAAGAGAAGACAGTTTCCATTAATCCAATAACTTAAAGGAAGGGCTAAGGAGTCAAGGCATCAGACTCAGTGTAATGAAGAATGTCCAAGATTGTATACTTTCCATGGGCATCACAGCTAACATAACATCAACATAACTAGCTCACTTTTCTATTACAAAACGAACAATTAATTTAAATATGTTGATATTCACAGCAAATGCAACTTAAATCCCACCTCGAAATTTAGCGATAAACCATCCCTCAATGCAGACTCAGCCTCTTGAATATTTCCCTGGTCGAGCTTGGCTTCGACCTCATTTGTTTTCATGGAAACCCCATTGGCAACAAATTGGCGAATAGACGGATCATCCTCTATTTGGGCCGATTCTGGCGATTCACCCTCCGACATCTTTAATCCCGACGTATCCTCACTAGAACACACGAAAACAACAACGTCCCATCATTCCCGGCAACCTGATGTGATCAACTACATTAATACATTGGCAACAATAAATCCAAATAATACCCAAATGCCTAGACAAAATCCTCAAAATAATGAGATGCCTCTTCGCGGCTCACAGAAGCACCGCCATATTAAAAAAATAAAATAAATGAAAATCCCATGATTATTCAGACATGAAAAAGCTATTTCCAATACAACAACCTCTCGGCATAATCGTTCTAATCTAGCACAGATAAATCTATTCAATGTCGGGATTTTTCATAAATGTTCAGAGCTTAATCGAGGTTGTACGAAGGAAATAGATCACAGCAAGCGGCGTACATCGTACTACCACAAGAACACATGAAATTACCAACATCTTAGCTGATGATAATCTAGCAAAATCGACACGGATTGTTCATTTTACCTTTCTCAACGCGATATGATTGTGAGAACAATGCCCACTGGCATTACAGGGAGAGACAGAGACGGAGACGGAGACGGAGAGAAATTAGTTTAATAATAATACCGTGGATAGCCATAAAATGGGGAGACGGGAGAATTCAAAATTGTATATTTTGTTTATGAGAAAAAGGAATAAAATGTATATATATTGAAAGAGGTTTTTCGAATAATTTAAAAATAGTAATTTTGACTTTATAATAAAATAAATTGACTTGTTATTAAAGGAAATATAGAAAAACAATTTAATATTTTTGAAGAAAATATTTTCGCAGGACTTTTTCGATCAATACGAAACTTGGAGAGGACGATCACCAGAGATCAACGAACCCAACAGTGCAACTAGATCCACCAGCCACACGCGACTGTTGCACCGCGCCACTCCGACGCAAACGCAACATCGTGTCGCAGCGTCCGACGGACGCACATCCCGCAGCCGCAGCACGTGCGCTAACGACGCCAGCCATAACACAAGCGCGCAGCTCGGAAGGGGGCGTATTCTCCGGGCTTGTGTACTTTAGAAGAAGTTCAGTCAAAGAACCAGTCAAAAAAGAAAAGAGTTCTTCGCTTCGTTTGTACGGTCATTTCCAGATTATTAGATTTATTCCGTGTAGTTAGGCTTTGGATCAAATTGGTTATTGGGCGGTAAAAATTGTAACAGGTGTACACGCGGGTTGCCATATTATTATTATAAAGAAAGCGGACAAAGAAGGTCGATAGCCCAAAATCCAAATTCCTTAAGGAATGCCCAACCCCCTACGCTGCTATGTATAGAGTCCCACTTTCTCCCCGGGTAGACTCAGAAAGGCCCAAGATATAGAGTCAAAGGCCGAAAGGAGATCGATTTTGATGGTGCATCGCGCGACGCGACCAAGCACCCGCGGTGGCACTCGACGATCCCAACTCGCACAACCAGGAATCCCAAAAAGGCGACCCAGAGACATTACAAGGAGAAGCGAGGAACATGGGTTCAAGGACATGTCCTCAGAACCATTCCTCCAGCCCCGTAGGCTGTGTAATTGGTCTCAAAGTCAGTAATTTTTTTCAAACCGTGAGTATAGATCCTAACTGTAGATTCTGCCGCGTTAGGATTTATTTTGATAGATTTGAATGTGCATATCGACTACGTTCCTCATTCCCAACAACATGTTTGGAGAATGGATGTTTAATGGTTGTAGAACATGTTATGGATGTTTAAGCATGTTTGTTTATAGAAATTTTCAAAAAAATTATCACATTTTAGCTCAACCACTTTTTTTAACTCAACTCTAACTCAACCCCACTACCATCAATATTATCAATATAATTAAATAATATAAATCAATCATTCATACACACAACATCAACCTTAATTCACTATTCATCCACTCACATTATTTTAACTAACCATCACATCAAACTATCTCTCTACTACTTTTATATCAAATCATTTTAATTATTTTATTTTAAATATTATTTTAGTATACCCACTAACAACTAACCATACCACCTTTTTCAAAATTAATCAAACCAAACCAAAAAATCCAAACAAAACCGAAATTTCCATAAACAAACATGCTAGTGTTGCAGAATTGGTTATTTACTATTTAGTGATGCAGAATGGATGTTACATTTTTGCAAAATTGGATGTTTTTATGCTTTATAACATAGTAATGATACAATGCCAAAATGAACTTAGACTCATACACTAAAGTCGAGTTTTTACATTACAAAAACAAATTCATTACATCTTAAAACCATAAATTACTTTCAAAATAAAAAAAAAAAAATATATATATATAGAATCGAAATAGTACACAACTACTTCGTAGTCTTTTTCTTAGCATCTTGCAACTAAGTTGTAAGACCTCTTCTTTGCGGCACTTAAATCAATCTCGAGATGCAATTGTACCATCTTGTTCTCGTGAACTTTTTTCTTGAAGTCGGTTTAATGTTTTTGACAACCCAAGAATTATTTGTTTAACTTTTTCACATATTTCAGGATCCACCCATTTATGGGTTCAAAATCAATACCGAACAGATAGTGATTCGTTAACCGATAATCGCTGTTACCGTTACAAGCGATTCGATACAGTTCGGTTTATTTTCTCGTCTGTTCAATTTTCGATTTTCGGTAAAAAATTGTAAGCCCTAAATTATCGTCCCATGCAATACAAACGGCTACATTATACTGTGCCCAAAATTCCTCTATTACACTTCAAGAGGATAACCAGAGAACATAACTTAAAGGAAAATTAAAAAGACATTAAGCGGCATTTGTTGAAGCCTCTTTTTGTTCATCATTGGTAAAAGGAATGGGTTTTGTGGGGGCAGGCAGGCGGCCAATGCTATCGACCTTATCTTTCTGTTTGGGCGGTGGCCTTGCTGCTCTTGGGAGTAACCTACCTTTCTTCTCAAACCATTCGGGCTTCAGCAGGGCCCGTAACCCTAGTTTGTTGTAGTACACTCTCCTCACGGACCCACCAGCCGCCTCAACTGCCGCTTTTGCCCACACGGTCACCCTAGAAACCTGCATTATATACAAAATGAGGAGGATTTAGTGGGCACATGAAAGAAAAGTGACGAGAGATTTTACCTCGAGGTGGATAGGCCATTTAATGTGTTCGGCCCCACGTCCCATCACTCGAACTCCATCTTCGATTTGCTTTCCTATTGCTCCTGAATCCTTTTTGACATGGAAAAAGAGTAGGTGAATAGAGAATGTGTCTTGGTTAAGAATCTATCTTAGTTATAAACCGTACCTTGAGAGTTTTCATTGTGATCAACTCTGAAGAATCTATCTTCCCAGCATTTATCAGTTTTGCAATTTTCCCTAAGCCAACAGGCTGCAAAATTGTGAATCATTAAGTTTTGCATCAATGAAACTTTTCCTGATATACTTAAAAGCTAAATTGTGAATCATAAGAGGGGACCAGAACCCAGAGCTTATATGATCAGTATTGTGTCTACACTTACCTCTTTTTCACAACACATTTTCATTTTATTATAAACCTGTGTTCAAATCGGAAAAAACTACGCAGTTTCTATAGGTAAAAGTGTCATCCATCAACAATTTCAAAAGGGAATCACACCAAGATTGCCTCAAAATTAATGAATCCTTTCCAGTCATTACGCGGAGGAGGGGAGATCACAACTCAGTGCGTATATGACCAGCACACGTTTTATATTTTATTATAAATTGAGTTCAAATACTTTATTAATCGTTAAAAAAAAAAAAATGCCTAGTTTCTGTAATTGGGAAAACACTTGGGAAAGATGATTAGCTGCACGTTTGATATTCACTAGTAAAACGAGAAATTTATAGGCTAAAATTTGCAATCAATGCGAATATATATCAGTTGACTTCCAGTGATACACAATTCCCATTATCATTTCATAAATTAGGTAAAGATCAAGCACAACCAGAATAGTTTCTAGAGGAGAGGAGATAACACAATTTGGTCACATACACAGACTTCTTTCATTATAAGTTGTGAGTGACACGCCAAACCACCAATTCCCAGAAATAATATTACAAATTAGCACATATGTCTTTTCTCCAGTAACAAACCATTTTTATTTCTCCATCAACCTTGTTCTTTATAGTAATTTTATATATGAGTGTCACAAAGTATCGGCTTAACTACAAATGCATGCATAAATTAAGCTTACACATCTTGTAATTCAATTGCCACATTATCCAATATTTTTCGAGCTCATCCCTCTTTTCCATGGAAGTTCAGTCAGCACGAAACAAATAAATAGAGAATCACTATGTTTGGCTTTTGGGATTGCAAAAGCGTTTATATACAATCAAAGCTACCTACTATCAAAGTCGCTATGGAAACAACCTCCTTGTATAATTACAAGGGTAAGGTCTGCGTATAACTGACCCCCCAGACCCCAACCTGTTGGGAATATACTGGGTATGTTGATGTTGTTGATGTTGAAACAAAAGATAAACGGAAGAAAAGGAAACAACTCAATCAACCTTAAGAAGACCAACTTAAGCAAAATAAATAGAGAATTAAACAGTAATAGTGTAACAAAATGCAAGCTCAGAACCTTCCTGTGAGCGACCAGCATATTCAATAAGTGCATAGAGATACAAAAAAACAAGTTATCGAGTCAACAACTGAATTGCACTAAACTCTAGAATATTTAGTATAACAGCGAAAACGACTAATTACACAAGGAGTCACGTCGTCACGGTTAGTAAGCTGAGTGAAGGTTTTTATCTTTAAAGCTATTACTAATTTAGATAACTCCTTTGATACAATTCATCTGCATACTTTCAAAACATCACGAGAATGCGGATGGAATGATGATTAATATGCAACATTTTCCACCCTTTCAGCCCAATTTGAATATCAAAGAAAATTTGTGTATCCATCTCTTCCTAATGTTGTTCTCTTCATGAAAATCTTAAAAAGTTAGTACAGTAAGACACACAACAAACAAAGGTGCTTCAAATAAAACACCTGAAACGTGAGAGTGAAGGGATTCTTAAAGCCCCTTTTGGGGAGGCGTCGACGGAGCGGCGTCTGGCCACCTTCGAACCCAAATTTCATAGTGCCACGGGCTTTTTGACCCTTGTGCCCACGGCCCGCAGTCTTTCCCTTGCCCGACCCGATTCCCCGCCCCTTGCGAGTTTTCTGCTTTCGAGACCCTGGATTGTCCCTCAAATCGTTCAACGACAATAGGCTGCTGTAAGCCCTCACACCGCCGCCGGGATGATGACAGCCGGAGATGGAAACATGACCCTGGCATTGCTGAAAATGCAGCAGCGACACAAACTGTAGGGGTGCGAGATGGGAGGTGGGTTTAGGGTAGTGATTCTGGGCAGTACGGACGGAGGTGGGTATAAGTGAAGCTAACCTTCGTCTCAACATTTTTTTTCGAAAATCTATTGGATTTGTGTAGCAGCGATTGGAGATGAAAAATCAGACATTTTATTCAGAGCTCCAACGTTAGGGTTTAACTAGTTTGTACGGAAAACATTATAATAGAACAAAAAATAATAAAAAGATATAAACAATCGTAAAAATCATAATATAATCATTGTAAAAATATTTTTAAAAAAGAATAACTAAATATTGTTAAATTATTTTTTATGTGCAACGTTTGTGATTTGTCTATCAATAGAATCTCCATCACTACAAATCACTATCTTCAAATTAAAACATATAATGGTTTTATTTTTTAAAATAATTATTGTATTTGGTACTATAGATCATATAGGAAATTTAAAAAAAAAAACAAATACTATAAAAATACAAGCAAAATATTACAAAAGAAATATTTGTATTTAGTTGATAAATAATGATATGTGCCAAATATTTAAGACATTTGAACAAAATGACAATTTTTGTGGGATTGAATGATAAAAAAAGCCCAAATTAGAAGTCCACTTAATTTTTTAGGGTAGCCAAAATCAAATATAAAACATGTCAATGAAAACATGACTATAAATTAAAATAATCTCCTTGAGTGATGTAAGCTAATTCTGTTGTTTGATGTCGACGCTTCTTTCGTTATTCACTATGTCTGAAACCCTAATCCTTAACCCGATCTTACGACAAACTCGGGGAGATTCAATACAAAAAAAATGTTTTACCGGAAATTTTCTCCCAGTAAAGACTTAAAAAAAAAAAAAAACCGAGAAATGTTGTTTTTGTGGCCAACAGTAGTGATTGAAAAATAAATATTCGTCCCGATTTCTTAATCTGTCTTGCTAAATCTTAATAGGTCGGTCAAAATCGGGCGATAATATTACAAATCTATGAAGAGCTGAAATATTTTTTGTTAAATATAGGTTTTATTTTTTATTATTTTCAATGATCAGTGTCGTTTTTCGAAATTCTTTTTGAATAAGCTTCAAATATATATCATATTTTATACATAATTCGATATTATCTTGATGTTTTTCGAAATCATTTTTCGAAGAGAACATGACATTGGTCGAACATTTTCAAACTTTTATGTATTTTGTTCAGAGTTTGAAAAATAGGTAAGTTTCTAACAAATCTGTCCAGCTCTACTAACAAATATATAGGTAAGTTTATAACATATATGTTCATATATGTTTATAACATACATATGTAACTTTTATGTATTTTGTTCGGATTTTGAACAGTAAATAGTTCAATTCTTTCTCGTCTTTCTCATCATAACAGTAAGTGAAGTTTTGCTAACACTTGTTCAAAATCGCTTTTCGAAGTTGTTCAAAGTCTTTTGCCGAAGTTTTTCATAGTTTTTAGTATTTTGTTCAAAATTTGAAAATATTAGGTAAGTTTATAACAAATCTGTTTACATATATTTCTCGCATATTAGGAATTTCTTGTTTAATGTTTAAAAAAATCTGTAGGAATTTTTATTTTTAAAACTTTTACGCAAAAAATCGATTTTAATATAAAGGCAGATGTTTTAGTAGAAGTTGAATGTGTTGATAATAATAGGGAGATCAAATTATTTTTCTTTTTATATTGTATAGTGTCCAATAATGTTCCACATAATTTGTTGTGTTTTTAATTTTGATTTTTTTTCATATAGATTTTACTTTTTTTTTGTTGATTATTAATTACTAGTACAATACCCGTGTATTACACGGGTGCTTGTTAAAAAATTATTCTTAAATTTTAAAATTAATGAAAAAATTATATTAAATTTAGTTTACTTTTTTACAAAAAAAATATATTACTATATATTTTAGAATGATATGTGTTACTTATGGCTTACATGTGTTATATTATATTAGTTTTTATAACTTATATCATATAACTACTTGAAATATAAATATATTAGTTGATAAATAATTTTATTTTTCTAATTAATATTAAAAATAATTTTATTATTGTTATAAGGATAAATATAAATTATTTTTTTTATACATACAATATGGATGTTAAATCGAAGCTTATCAAAAGAAGATTAATTTGATATATTACATATGTAAAACTGATAAAAAAATACAAAAGTTATTAACTTTTAAAATATATATACAATTCAATAGTTATAATAAGGAATGATATTAAAATACAATTAATACATGTAACATGACCATAAATAATCAACATATTTATGGTAATCCGAACCTAGTTATTTTTGGTTTGAAATTAAATTAAAATTTACCCAAGCCTAATAACGAAGCATGTAATTTTGCCACATAGGATTCCGAAGCACCAGAAACAGCCACGTAGGCTCAGCATTCTGTATTAATATATAGGGGGGATGCTTGATATTTCTATATTATACAACAATCTGTCATTACATATAATACATTGTCAATCCTCATTCTTTGACTTTGCCAATTTCCGTTTAATATGACTTTTCTGTTGCTGAAAGTATGGTTTTAATGCCTTAAAATATTGATGTTTTGGATATGTTTCGATGCTATAATCATGCATAAATTTGTACCGCCACTTTTTTTTAAAAGAGGAATTGTTTAATGAAAATTAATCATATTTATATTTATAATTGTGAAATAATATTTTTTTTTTCACGACCAACAGTTTTTTTTAATGAAAAATATGGGACAATTTCTTCAACACACTTTTTAATTTATAAAACATAATGTTGATTGCGATAATCAAATCTGCAGAAATCATGCATTTTATTGAATAGTAGTAATATAAAATATTTTATTATTACTACCAAATGGTAAGTCAAAGATAGTCAATTTTGCAATATTAATTATGATCATATGACTTTTTTTTATACATATGTTTTTCAATGAACTTTTAAATGATAATATTGACAATATAGACTTTGCTATAATAAATATATAGATTGTTAATTTATTTATTTACTTCATAACTTCTTTTTTTTTTTTTAATTCATCTTATTATGCGTATAGTCTATCTTTATAAATTATACGTCATTTAAATGTATATATACTACTACTTTATAAGATTTTACTATTTGGGGGAGCTAAATTTTATTTTAATTATGAAACTAATCTTTCTTATCATTTTGCAGTTATATGTTTGATGGAGTATAGCTGGAAATTAAATTACAAAAAAATAATTTTATTTTTATTGTAATTTAACATGATTTGTATTATAATATTTGTATTTATTACATTTATTAATATTTTTTATAACTTTAATTGCTTATTCAATTTATAACTAAAAGAAACCTTCTTAAATGTGGGAATAATGAGTAATTAATTAAAAAAATTGTAACTTCTTTTGGAGGGAAAGTGCATGTGAATCCGAATAGTTTTTCAATTTTATAATCATTAAAAATATAAAACACTTCATATATTTTCAATTTTATAGGCAATTGTAAGTCTATCTTCTATTTTATATAGAATTAAAAAATTTAAGCATAATATAATTTTTATTATAACTTATTTTTAACTTTTATTTCTAACTAATATAACTGAAATTTCTGGCAACTTTTTTTTTTTTTTTTTGATACATGAAAGGAAGCAAAAAACTTAAGTTGTGAAACGATCACATTACGTGGGTAAGATACACCGGTAAGATTGTGTTCTAGCCAAGGTTTCACTCCCGGCGGTGGTGCATCCAAATATTGAAGACCACTGGGGCTGGTTGAAGCTATAGAAGCCAGATAATCAGCTGCGAAATTCGACTCGCGTCAATCATGCAACAGTTGAACCCTCCATTCTTGGTCCATCAATTCACGTATCCCTCTGATTAAGCTTCCATGCATCCCCAAGCCATCGTGCAACCCATTGATCATCTGCACGACCCCCTAGTTGTCCACTGAGGGTGATCGTCGTCTCCTACTTCTAGACCTTTAAAAATCATAATTTCATATTGACTCGCGGAATATTACTAAACTCTATTCTTCATCTCTAAAACAATTGAAAGGACATTTGGTTATTTACACTAATCAAGACACAACAAGAAAATAATGAACCATCATTAAAAGGAAAATAATGAGTCCTTTTTAGAGACATAACCATTAAAATTCATAAATTGACTTGAACTATTATTGTCGCATCCCGAACAAAACAAACATAGGGGCCTCGTTTATTTTGGGGATATGACAAGATAAGAAATTAGTCCGCCATTTACATATTGGGATTTGGACAGGATTTTGAGGACGTGGCGCCCATGTGGCAGGAGGGGTTCACAAATTATCACCCCATTCCCGATTATTCCATCCGGCCTCCCCCAGAGATTATTTAATTCCAACAATCTGCTACCAAAAATGCCCTCAATTTTGGGTGGCAAAATACGAAAATAACCCCTATTATCAAATTAATTACAAAATTGGTTCATATAAAATTGATGACTTCGTTCATTTTGTTCCCTAATTCTTGTTCTTGCACAACAACGAGCACGAAGCAATCTTCCGTCATTTTCACGATAGGTAAGCAATTTTTGCCAAGGAAGTGTAGTCCCATCATGAAAACAAAAATAATTGTCAGTTTTTTTTTATTTTTTTATTTTTATTTTTATTTTTTATTTTTTTTTTCTATCCGCTCACAACTTGTACAACATAATACATAGAAGTAGATTTGTTCCAAAGAGGTGGGATCTAAGGTTTAGAAGTCGTCCTCGTTGGATTTCTTCGAGCCCTGTCGTCCGCATAATGTTGAATTGCCCAGGTCGTCTCCGTCTTCGAGTGCTTCTCCTCTCTGATTTGGGGTGGGATGGATAGGGTTAGGGCTCGAACAAATTTTTGAATGGCGGGGCAAATTAATTGATCGTTCCAATTGTGTTGCTATGTGTTTATGCAATGGAGGGTAACTTAGGCATTTTATGTCTTATCCTATTATTTTGTCCGTAAAAGTAAATGTTTGACAAATTTAAGAAATTTTAATCCCCGTAGTGTAAATATTGGATTGATAATGACGTGTAAAGTAAGCTGGATTATTTCTTGTAATCCTACCTTCAAAGTAAATGAGGCCAATATATATTAAATCATCATGATAAATCATCACGTAGTCAAATGCCAACCAGTAGAACTTGAGATTAAAAAAAAAAAAGAAAAAGAAAAAAAAAAACTAGATTTGCCTTTCATATCTTCTAACTCAATTTTAGACATTATCCAACTTTTAATAATTTTTAATAAGGCCGCACAACAAGATTGAAGGCAATTAACATCACATAAAGTAGCATCATTTTAAGGATACAAAACCTTACAGTAATTCATAAATTATACTGACCATTCCAGTTTTCTTTTTATCGATGTCCCGATCTTTCCATATTGAATGTTCAATTTTCAGACTCAGTTCTCATCGGTCTCTTATCAATATAATTTGATAATCATTTTATGGTTTTATTAAATAATCTTTGTTTTATCAATTATTGAATTTAAATCTAAATATAAATAATTTCTCGATTTTATTATCATTTAAAATAATATAAAACACTTCATATATTTGTATGATCATGGTAAACTTATCTTTTATGTTACGGGGTAGTTATATATAATATGTTTACACATCATTTTGATGACATTATAAGATTGAGCTCAAATAATCAAAGAATACAAAATAAATTTTAAAATTGTGTAGGATAGCTAATAACACTATATACTTTTATATCATAATACCTAACTTATTATTATTTTTTACATAAACTTCATCTAAAACACGAGCATGGTATTAATATACATATATAATTATAGATAAAGAATTTAATGCATATTTTTTTGCTCATTTTTTTAAAAAAAACTTTTAGTATGAAATTGTTATATTTTACATTAATCAAAGATTATTGAGATATTAAGAAATTACATTATTGCAATGAATATAATAATTAATATGTAAGTTAAATAGTTTATATTTACATGTTATTTTTACCAATCATAAAATTTATAAATAGTATGTTCATTGTCAAACTTATTAGTTCAAATATCATATATATACATATATGATTTATAAAATTTTATTTATATTTACGCATGTGCACACGATTGATTAGTGTTAATTAATTACCAAAAAATACAATATCATGGTTACCATCATTTTTATTGGGCAAAGTCACCATGATATTTGTCAGGGGATCGTGAAATTTTGACGTCATTAATAAAGTATTCCTTCCCTTAGACGTTGAAAAAATTCCCTCTATTCCCCTCGGTAACCAAACGAGTAAAGACCGAACAATTTGACATTTTATGAGCAATGGGAACTACTCGGTGCACAGTGGCTACCAACTCCTTAAACACTTTGGAACTTTCGGCTGCCACTAAAAATTAATATTTTTTTTTCTCTAGAAGGTATCACTCTTAGCTTAAGGGACTTTATTTCCTTATTCTTAGTATATTATCGAAAGGCCGATATATGGACTTTAGGCAATTTGCGGTTGGACTGTGGCTTGTTTGGCACGAACACAATTGCCTTCGTCATAATTTAAAAGCAAAGAACCCGAAACAAGTTTGGGAATTTGGGTTATCTTGGTTGAAAGAGATTGACTACGCTCAATCGGGTTTGCTTGATAATGATCAGAAACCATGGTGTGATTTGCTTTACTGTTGGCAAAGACGGGGAACGTGCAAGAACGAGTGGACTCTTATGTGTGATGCAATAGCCCGGATAGATATATTGGACTTGGGGGATTCGACACTCAGACTCTTCTATGTGATGCAATAGCCTGAATTCGACACTCGGATGGCATTTGTCAGGCTTCTTTCACTACATATTTTAGGGGCTTTTTTCTCCTCTACTAGCAGAAACTTTGGCTATTCGATTTTACGTTTTTGTCGGGATTCCGACTTCAAACTTCAGGTGATTTTGACGGATTCCTTAAGTGTCGTAGGAGGACTCATTCAAATGGAAGCATGTGACCCACTTCTTGAGTGACTTCTTGATACAAGGGAGCTCCTATCTATCCTGAATTGCAGTACATGCAGACACATTCTTTGAACGAAGAGTCAAGTCGCCTATTAAATGCGAATTGGGCGACATAATCACATTCCTCTTGTATTTCGTCCTCTTTTTTATTTAGGGATGTATTAATTTCATCAAGCTTTCAATGCATTGTTTAATATAAAAAAAAAAATTATATTAATTAGCAATAACTCTAAAGTTTGCTTAATTTGGGTTTTCTACATTGATTCAAAGCTGAAAAACCACCAAACTCATTTCCCTCCTCCAGCTCACATCCAGCAATTTTCGGATCACCTCTAACTTTCTTTTGTTTTGTTTGTTTTTTTTCAATTATTTATTTTTACATTATTTATATCTGCACTCTTCTTCTCCTCCCTTCATCGTTGTCGAGTTTCTTTCTCATCGATTAACTTCTTAAGAAAAAAAAAAAAAAAATGAGTTCTGGAGAGCTTCTCAGCGTCGAACCATTGGAGTTGAAATTCCCATGTAAGTACGCTCTCCTATGGACGATTTCACTTTGCATTGAAGCCTTTTTCCTAAGATTTATTTTTTATTTTTTTTTTCTGGGTTATCCTGATTTGATTAGTTGAGCTGAAGAAGCAGATCTCTTGTTCCTTGCAAGTGTCGAATAAGACCGACAGTTATGTTGCTTTTAAGGTAAATATAAATCCCTTGTCGGGATTTCTGGTGGTGTGCTTTATTTTTTTTGATTTGGGAAGGTTTTTGTTTCCTGGTTGTAGATAAAAATGGGATCTTTGTTGTTTGTTGTTATCGTTTGATTCCCGTGTTCAGGTGAAGACGACGAATCCCAAGAAATACTGTGTTCGGCCCAACACAGGGATTGTTTTGCCCCATTCGACCTGCGATATTGTTGGTAATTTTATTTGCCCAGTTTCTAGTGCTCAATGCCACTTTTATTTGAGTTGGGTGTGAATTGTAGCTGCAAAAACATGGAATACTGTTTGATTTTAGTGGTCGTCTCTAGACAAAGTTGTTCGCTCATGAGTCGGGTGATTTGATATTTTCTTATGTATTCTAACACGTTTCTCGATTGAGCATGAGTTCAGTTTCAGCATTAAGAAATGGATATTTCAACTTTGGTTTTGTTGAGTATGTATGCTTGGAACATGGTTTTTTGACTGAGTCTCATGTAGAACTCGTACAGGTTTGTTTCGTGCTCCATCATTAGGTTTGGCACATTTTGAGAGTGTCTTGATTGATTAGTCTGGCCTAAACAATCTAGTACAATGCAGATAAGTGTTTAGAGGTCATTTACTTCACATGTTTTGAAGGCACATTGCTTCCGAAGCCACATTTTATAGTGTTTGAATCTGAGTGGGACGTAAATGCAGTTGTTTGGAGAAAAGATTTGAAACTAAAACATCAACCGCATTATTTTTAGAGTGTGACGCAAAAAAAAAAAAAAAAAGAAAGAAAGAAAGCGAATTTCAAGTAACAGTGGATTGGATTACCGTGAAGCATTACCTTTTACAGCAGCGAAAAAAATGGAACATTCTTGGTTTATTGTTCTTTTGAAATAAATCTTTTTATGAAACCGAACTTCATCTTACTTCAATTTTTCTCTTTTCAGTTCTTTACTTTTTAGTTGTTAAATTTATTTTTGACTTATGTTGGCCTTGACTAAATCTGTTTGCTTGAGTTTAGTAGTAAATGTAAGGGGCCTTGGCTTATTCTTTCTTTTTTCTTAAAATTATTATAATAAACTCCCATGTCGGTTATAGTCACAATGCAGGCCCAGAAGGAGGCTCCTTTAGATATGCAATGCAAGGACAAGTTTTTGCTTCAGAGTGTAGTTGCGAGTGAGGGTGCAACCCCAAGAGACATTACTGCCGAAATGGTTTACTCTCTTATCAAAATACTTATTGGCTAATTCTTCTAATTTTATGTTTTTACTCAACTTACTGTTTATTAACTGATACTGATAATAATGCATGCCCAGAAATTACACAATTTAACCATTTCTAAGGATTTTTATTCAATGTATGATGGTTCTTGTACTCGGAATGAATGAATATGTTAGTTACGTGTAAATATTTTTAATGAAAACTATGAATGGATTACTAGCGTCTGTTCTATGCAATTTAATGAGCAACCAAACACTTTAATGTACTATCTGCAATTTGAAGATTTACGATCAATCAAAGTGGTGTTCGGATTTTCAGTTTAACAAGGAGCAAGGCAATGTTGAAGAATGCAAGTTGAAAGTGGTGTATGTTGCGCCACGTCAGCCTCCGTCACCAGTTGCCGAGGGATCTGACGAAGGAGTTTCACCAAGGGGCACTGTCTTGGAAAATGGAATCGAGGTCTTTTTGAAAAAAAAAAAAAAAGTTGATGGAATTTTCAATCTATATGAGTTCATTTTCTCTCTCTTTCACATCAACTATATCACCTTATGTTGCTATTTTATTTATGTATTGTTTTACTGAACCTGCAGGGTGCTCGAACTTACGTGGACAGTCAAGAAAAATTACCTGAGGTAATGGTCTATCTCTTTGTCCCCTTACTTTCACAGTTCTTTACACTTGACCAAACTTTCCATTGTTTTTTATTCTCAGGTAAAATCTCTCGTTACAAAATTGACTGAGGAAAAAGCTGCAGCCATTCAACAAGGCACCAAACTTCGTCAAGAATTGGTGAGAACTTCTGTTTGATCTTGTCCGACTTTTTCAAATTGATATTCTGATCCTTCATCTCCTTTTTTACCTCCTTCTGCATTGTTTAAGCCGTTCAATCTATGTATGAATTGCAAAAGCTATTTGACATTAGTTATTACTCAAATAATTTCTCATTGTATCACACTGTGTGATTTAGGAACTATTGAAACGTAGAAGCAACAAAAGAGGAGGCGTATCCATGACTCTCGTGATCATTATCGGCTTGGTGGGTGTAATTTTGGGGTACCTTATGAAAAGGACTTAGATAGATTGTTTTATTCAAGAGCAGCGTCTCGTTTTTTCAGTTTTCTGTATTCATTTTATTTTAGTTCTCTCCACACTCACTCGTGAAAGAGTGTAGGGAACAAAAGGGAAGCTATATATTGACGACAAATCTTATGTTTTCGATTCGTGTTAGCTGCTAATGTTTTCTGTTTTAGGTTAGACGATATGTCGATATGTCTTGCTCGGCTTAATGGTGTTGCTTTATGAACATTCTTTTTGTGACTTGGACAAAAATATTATGTATGTTGTGTATTTGTGAAGAGAAAGATGCTTCAATATGTATTTGATCGAGCTATTCGTGATGATGTATTTCGAAACGGAATGGGTACAAATTCATACCCATATTATAGAATTGTGTGTGTTGTATAGGTGAACAAGTTTATAGAGGATAAGTGGTAATCAGAGGTGTAGATGAGCTAAACAATATTAACGAGCCGAATTCGAGTTTTAACAAGACAAACTATAAAAAATTACAAAAAAAAGCTATTTTCTAGCCTAAACAATTTGAACTCGTTTAGTCATCTAATTTATCAAACGAGTCAAAGCGAACTCTAACCCTTACGAGCCTCACAAGCAACTTTCTTTTTTTCATTAAACAACTCTAATCACAACCTGCACTAATCATTTAGCTAATAATTACATTAACTCAACTATAGTCGATTTATTCATCAGTAACCAAATTTTTCTAACTTAGATCATGCTTCAGTAACATAATGTATAACATGAAGTATGACATAATATCCTATTACAGTACACATCACATTACTTTTAAAATCTATCACTATTAAACTTCGAGAAAATGCTACAGTCTGGTTACGGAACCATACTGTCGGTTTGTAATCGTAAAATCATCATGTAACCGTCGGAGATAGTTGATCTAACGATTACAAATTCCAACGAAATTCTCCCGTTAACGAGACCGTATGATCTCCCTAAACTTCAATCCTTTATGTCAACCAATTTGAACTTAAAGCATTGCCCACACAACTTTAGGAATAAATTTTTAGAGGTGATAATTCAGAAAGGGCACAAAGGTCATTTTGCACCTCAAATTATTTTTCTTTTTATTTTGATATGAAGGTTTATTTCCAGTTTCTACTTGCAAAATGCAAGATTGATATGCTTTTGCCGAGCAACGTAAGGCTAGGTTCAGAGCCTTTTGGACACTTTGTACAGATAAAATAAAACTCAGGTAACCCACCTGCGAATCTACAACACGCAATCGGAATTTGTTTCACAGGTGAGCGCTTTGGTTTGATTTGATTGAAACTGTGGAAATCATTGTTGGGGTGTCTGAAAGATTTCATCTTTTGTGGTTGGGTCACTGATATAACTCATATATTGACAAAGGAATGAGACAGGTGTTAGTTTTTTGATTAAGTTTTGTCCCACATCGAATGTGTACCAAAGATGTGTAGGATTTTTTTAGTATAAATAGATCCCTTGCCTTTGGGTTACAATTGCACCTTATTCTATTCTCTCCTATTTAGAAGGAAATCCTTAATTAAGGAAATCCTATTTTGTGGGTTATTTAACCCTAGTTGTATTTTGTTGGTGAGTTTAATAAATTTGGCGTTGCGGTTGGCGGTGCCCGGAGACGTAGGCTATTTTCGCCGAACTCCGTTATCAATTTTTTTGTTCTTTTTTCTTCCCGTCTTTTATTTATTTGTGTTGGCTTATTTTCGTTTGAAATAGTGTTCGTCATATTCGTTGGAGGGGTATTTTTGTTCGCTGCGCTTGTTGTGATACCCCAACAAGTGGTATCAGAGACGAAGGTTCGTCCCAGGCTCATTTGGAGAGGCGAGCACTGCATTCGAGTCCGAGATGTCCAAGGAGGTCAAGGGCGCATCATCCTCTGCATTCATTCCGGCAAGGACGGTGATGCCGAACGTCAGACTCCCGGTGGAGATCTTCGACGGGACCGGTCATTTCGGCATGTGGCAAGGCGAGGTGCTAGATTGTCTATTTCAGCAAGGCGTCGACATTGCGATTGAAAAGGAGAAACCAACAGACGTTGAAGAGAAGAACTGGAAGAATATCAACCGCTTAGCATGTGGAACAATTCGTTCGTGTTTGTCGAGGGAGCAGAAGTACGCGTTCAAGAATGAGAACTCTACTCACACTCTGTGGAAGGCTTTGGAGGATAAATTTCTGAAGAAAAGCGGCCAGAATAAGCTCCTCATGAAGAAACGATTGTTCCGATTCGAGTACCGGCATGGCACATCGATGAATGACCACGTCACTGCATTCAATCAATTGGTTGCAGATTTGTTGAACTTGGACGTCACATTCAGCGATGAAGATTTGGCTCTTATGTTGTTATCATCACTTCCAGATGACTTCGAGCACTTAGAGACTACTCAGCTCAATGGGAAGGACGATGTAACTCTTGCAGTGGTCAGTTCTGCTCTGTATAGCTATGAGTTGAGAAAGAAGAACAAACAAGAGACGAAGAATGCAGCAGCAGAAGATGAAGCGTTGGTTGCAAGAGGTCGGTCGAAGAGCCAAAAGAAGAATGGACGAGGAAGATCACGTTCCAAAGCCAAGTGACCGCGCGTCGCAACGCGGCAAAATTAATATTTATATTTTTCCTCGACAAACCTCTACTAACTAGTAGTAGTGGCAAGTAAGGGTCGAACCCACAGGGAGTGTGAATCAAATTGTGAATTTTCTTGTATTAATTGAATTTATAAAAGCGGTAAATGGGGGATTGGGTTTAAATAATTAAACTAACAAAAAAAATCCTAATACTATAAAGAAAGAAAATAAAAATAAATATAAAATAAATAAGAGAAATTTCTAGTTCACGGTTTCGTCTACACCCTCGACTGACTCATCTAATCAATTCTGGCATCAAATCTCGCTATCTTATGAAATTACTAGCCCTAGGCAACGACACGGTCTGTTACCCGAATTTTTCCTTATTTTTAATCTAACCGCGAGACGTTCTACGATTAGACCTGACCTCTTGTACAGTCTAGAAAACGCTTCTTAGATTTAATACAATCAGCCGCTTTACGCATTAGAAAAATAGGCTAGACTAAGTAGTGACGCATTCGTTCACTTAAATAGGTCGTGTTATTCCCGGTAGTTACCATCTTCCGGATACCACTTGCGAATTAAGCACATCAACAATTACGGATTGAAGGCCTAATTCAGGTGTAGATATGAAAAGCCTAATCTAGGTGATCAATCTAAATAAGACTCAGCACATTATGGTTAATTATTCAAAATAACACAAACAATTCCAAAAAGATAACTCAATAATCAACCATAATTAATCAAACATCATCAAGTACGTAGGGTTCGACATCCCCGGAACTAGAAAAAACTAGCCTAACATAATAAATAATAAAGAAAAAGGAATAGAATTATCCCCCTTTCGTGTGCGGGTGCGGCTTCCCTCTGCTTCTGTCGGATTTCCCGTCTGTCCTCTTCTCACGTCTATGTCCGCTTTTCTCCTTTTCTTTTCTCAAGTTTTGCGTGGCGGCTCCCTGCTGTTGTGTGTCCAAGTCCCCTCTACAAATAATGACTTCAGGCTTTTTATACTCTACGCAAATAAATATCCCCCAATGTGGAGAGCACTGCCCATAAGGAATCTCCCGTAATAATTAAAATCCTTTGGCCACGTGTATACCTCAACATCTTTAGCAAATATAAATCCACTCAATTCATTATTTTGGGCCATATCTAATAATTGTCCCTGTTGCGTGACACTCCCAGGAAATTAAAACCATGCAATTTGGGCCTCAAATTTATTCACTCATGTGCCAAATTGAAGAGTGTTGGGAAGGCCCTATAATTAATACGTCAACTTCCGTCCAATGCGTCGCACCAACAAAATACTCTAATGCGCTGAAAATAAACCATAAAAATATCAAAGCAACAAAATCTATCTGAAAAAATAAATAAGTCGAAAAGCATATATGTGCGAATAAATTAAGTGTATATGAATACACTATTAAATATATGAAACATGCACATTTTTCGACCAGTCACCAAGCTTGAAAAAGACGAGTGTGCTTTCTGCCATGAGAAGGGACACTGGAAGAAAGACTGTCCTTAGTTGAAGAAGAAGGGCAAATCTCCTCAAGATGCATATGTTGCTGAGGGTGGAAGTGAAGACTCAGAATTTTCACTTGTGGTTTCACCTTCATCATCTCATCCAGACAAATGGATTTTGGATTCAGGATGCACCTACCATATGTCTCCCATAAGGGAGTGGTTCTTCAATTTTCAGGAGACCAATGGAGGGGTTGTCTATATGGGTAATGATAATGCCTGTAAGACAACTGGGATAGGTTCAATCCGTCTGAAGAATCGCGATGGTTCCACCAGAGTTTTGACGGATGTTCGGTACGTGCCGAGTTTGAAGAAAAACCTCATCTCATTAGGAGCCTTGGAATCCAAAGGCTTGGTAGTGACTTTGCGAGATGGAGTTATGAAGGCTACATCCGGCTCGCTCGTGGTGATGAAAGGCATAAGGAGGAATAATTTGTATTACTATGAAGGTGATACGGTTGTTGGGAGAGTAACAGTAGCAGATTCCACCAACAAGGAGTCTGAAGCAGTCAAGTTGTGGCATATGCGGTTGGGACATGCTAGTGAAAAGTCCTTGCAAACATTGGCAAAACAAAGACTGTTGAAAGATGTCAAAGTGTACAAACTAGACTTTTGTGAGCACTGTGTTTTGGGAAAGCAGAAGAGAGTGAAGTTTGGAACGGCTATCCATAATATCGAAGGTGTCTTGGATTATGTTCATTCGGATGTTTGGGGACCTTCTAAGACCCCATCATTAGGCGGAAGGCGCTATTTTGTCACTTTCATCGATGACTTTTCCAGACGTGTTTGGGTATACACTATGAAGACGAAGGATGAAGTGCTTGGTGTCTTCATTACATGGAAGATACAAATTGAGAATCAGACTGGAAGGACGATCAAGGTCCTACGAACGGACAATGGTGGAGAATATACAAGCGATCCCTTTCAAGAGGTTTGCCGTAAAAGTGGCATTGTTAGGCACTTCACCGTTAGAAGGACACCACAACAAAATGGGGTGGCGGAGCGCATGAATCGAACATTGGTGGAGAAAGTTCGATGTATGTTGTCCAATGCTGGTTTGGGCAAGGAGTACTGGGCTGAGGCTGTAACATATGCGCAACACCTCATAAATCGTTTGCCGTCATCTGCAAAAGATGGTAAAACACCGTTGGAGGTTTGGTCGGGGAAACTTGTTGCTGACTATGGATCTTTACATGTCTTTGGGTGTCCTACGTTCTATCATGTGAAGGATTCAAAGTTAGATCCAAGAGCGAAAAAGGCTTTGTTCATGAGAATCACAATTGGCGTGAAGGGATATCGTCTTTTGTGTCTTGAGACGAAGAAAACTGTGTTTAGCAGGGATGTTACATTCGATGAACAAAGTATGATGAAGACGATGCAAACCCAACATGTGGACTTGACACCGAAGCAGGTGGAGATAGATGCGATGACGAGACAACCAACTATGATCGACGAAACAATATCAAACGATTCGTCGGATGATGAAGTTCAGACTCATGAATCATTAGATTTACCCATTGCATTGAGAAAGTCTAGACGAGAGATTCAACAACCTGCTCGATTGGCGGATATGGTGGCTTATGCACTTCCAATTGTTGATGATGACATACCTTTCACTTTTCAAGATGCAATTCGAAGTTTAGAAAATGAGAAGTGGAAGTGGGCTATGGAGGAAGAAATGTTGTCTCTCCAGAAGAATCAAACTTGGAAGGTGACGCAACTACCAAAAGGCAAAAGGGCGATAGGATGCAAGTGGGTATTTGCAAAGAAAGATGGATTTCCTCATAAGAATGATGTGCGCTACAAGGCAAGGTTAGTGGCTAAAGGCTACGCTCAGAAGGAAGGGGTTGATTATAATGAAGTGTTTTCTCCAGTTGTTAAACACTCTTCCATTAGAATTTTGTTGGCCTTAGCAGCACAGTTGGATTTAGAGCTAGCTCAACTTGACGTGAAGACGACGTTCTTACACGGAGATTTGGATGAGGAAATCTACATGACTCAGCCAGAAGGATTCAAAATTCTTGGAAAAGAGAATTGGGTCTGTAAGTTGAACAAATCGTTGTACGGACTGAAGCAATCTCCGAGGCAGTGGTACAAACGGTTTGATAAGTTTATGATTGGGCAGAAGTACACGCGAAGCAGACATAATCATTGTGTGTATTTACGCAAGCTGCAAGATGGATCTTTCATTTATTTACTCTTGTATGTGGATGACATGTTGGTTGCATCAAAGAGCCAAGTGGAGATTGATCAATTGAAGGCTCAGTTGAATCAAGAGTTTGAGATGAAAGACTTGGGGGAAGCTAAGAAGATTCTCGGGATGGAGATAAGCAGGGACAGAGTGAGAGGCAAGCTTTGTTTGACTCAGAAGCAATATCTGAATAAGGTACTACAGCGTTTCGGCATAAAAGATGAGTCAAAGCCAGTAAGTACACCACTTGCCCCTCATTTGAAGTTAAGTGCCCAGTTATCGCCAAATTGTGATGAAGAACGAGAATACATGGCTAGAGTCCCATATGCAAATGCAGTTGGCAGTTTGATGTATGCGATGGTGTGTACAAGGCCCGACATTTCACAAGCAGTTGGTGTTGTTAGCAGGTATATGCATGACCCTGGGAAAGGTCATTGGCACGCTGTGAAATGGATTCTACGATACATTCATAGTACTGTAGACGTTGGATTGGTTTATGAGCAGAATGAAGTTGGTCAGTGTGTAGTTGGATATTGTGATTCTGACTACGCGGGTGATTTGGATAAGCGAAGATCAACGACTGGATATTTGTTCACTTTTGCAAAAGCTCCAGTCAGTTGGAAGTCTACCTTACAGTCAACAGTTGCTTTGTCTACAACAGAGGCATAGTATATGGCGGTTACTGAAGCTGTGAAGGAGGCTATTTGGCTTCAAAGTTTGCTTGAAGACTTGGGAGTTGGTCAAAAGCACGTCTTAGTGCATTGTGACAGTCAGAGCGCTATTCACTTAGTGAAAAATCAAGTATTTCATGCAAGAACGAAGCATATTGATGTTCGCTATCACTTTGTGCGAGAGATTCTAGAAGATGGAACCGTTGTGTTGAAGAAGATCAAGACGACGGAGAATCCTGCAGATATGATGACCAAGGTAGTGACAGCAGTCAAGTTTGAACATTGTTTAGACTTGACCAACATTCTGCATATTTGAATTGGCGCCGAGAGGCGCATTTGGAGGCACCGCTAGCAGTTGAGTTGGAAGTGGGAGCAAAATTAGTCAAGGTGGAGAATTGTTAGTTTTTTGATTAAGTTTTGTCCCACATCGGATGTGTACCAAAGATGTATAGGATTTTTTTAGTATAAATAGGTCCCTTGCCTTTGGGTTACAATTGCACCTTATTCTATTCTCTAGAAAGAAATCCTTAATTAAGGAAATCCTATTTTGTGGGTTATTTAACCCTAGTTGTATTTTGTTGGTGAGTTTAGTAAATTTGGCGTTGCGGTTGGCGGTGCCCGGAGACGTAGGCTATTTTCGCCGAACTCCGTTATCAATTTTTGTGTTCTTTTTTCTTCCCGCCTTTTATTTATTTGTGTTGGCTTATTTTCGTTTGGAGTAGTGTTCGCCATATTCGTTGGAGGGGTATTTTTGTTCGCTGCGCTTGTTGTGATACCCCAACAGCAGGCTGATGCCTGTGAGCGTAGCGGAGCGAGCGTAGCGAGGGAAGCGGAGCGACGTAAATCGCGTGTTGTTTACTTTCTCGTTTTTAATTCGCATGTCATATTGTGATCTTTTCACAACAGCTTGCTTAGAATTGGTTGAACTGTGAATGGGCTTTCTTTTTTCAGAACAATAATCCGATTGTTGAAATTTTGTTAAACTTTTTGAGTAGTTTGAATTGCTGAAATTGATAAGAAGCTTTGTCTGGTGAATTTGGGATAATTTATTTACCTAGCGGCAGAAAATGGAACTGCTAAGCTATACTCTGCCATGGAGGATGTATTGATTATAGCTGTAATTCACTTTGTAGTAATGGGACCTTAAAGTGAAGGTTCAGTTAATCTAATTGCTGGACTTAAATCAGATAGTTTGGTTTTTGTCACTTGGAGTAAGGGGTAATATTGTTGTAGGTTAAAGGGGGAGTTCGAAACGAGCAAAAGATAAGATTTTTTGGGGAAAAAAAGATTCATGGCTGATCACTCGGATGATTTGGATCAGCTCCTTGACAGCAAGAGGGCCTTCCCTTTTTTTTTTAAATAATATTTTTGTCCATACTTTAGTTTACGGATTTTTTATGGGTGTCGACGGTGATTTTAATGCTTTCGAAAAACAATTTCAGGCGCATTGGATGATTTTCAGAACCTTAATCTCTCCTCTTCTGCGCTGAGGTGTAGTTTCCCTCTCCAAAATAAGTATATTTTGTTGTTGTTGTTCTTGTTGTTCTTGTTCTTGTTGTTTCGTTTCTTTTTGTGCTTCATTTATGTTTTGCCTTTATTTTGCTGGATATTAGAGGTTCGAGTCATAATGAGGGTTCTACTATGACAAGTGGAAGTGTTCAAGGGTTGGGAATGGGTTTGCCTGATTTGAAGATTAAGAAAAAGGGCAAACAAAAGGTATCACCACTTAAGCCGGAAGTACATATTTCCGAGGCGCTCGATAAGCTGAGAGAGCAAACAAAGGAGGCTGTGAAAGGGTTGGAATCGGTGACTGGGCCCACGCCACCAAATGAAGGAGATGCAATGATAGAAGATTGGGTCAAGCACTTTGGAGAGCTTGCCGGATCTCAGGTGAGTGTTGTAATTTTTTATTTTTAATTTTTATTTAGTTCTTTCCTTACATAAGTTGAGTATTAGAATATGATCCAAGTGAGCTTGATTTTGGTTTGAGTATCAATTGAAGTTGATAGTTTCTTGAGGGACTGGGAATTGATAAGTCTTCTTTGATGTTTGTTCGTTTTAATTATTTCAAAATCCTAATTAAGCAGCTTTTCGGATTATTTTTTACATGAAATTTATGTATATCGATTATTGAGATATTTATGGTTGCAGGATATGGAGTCGATTGTGGAGACCATGATGCAACAGCTCCTCTCTAAGGAAATCCTTCACGAACCTATGAAAGAAATTGGCGAACGATATCCAAAATGGTTGCAAGAGAATAAACCTAAATTATCAGATGAACAATACGCACAATACTCTCATCAGTATGAGCTTATAAAAGATTTGAACCAAGTGTACGAAACCGAGCCCGATAACTTCAACAAGATTGTTGAGCTCATGCAGAAAGTGCAAGAATGCGGTCAACCACCTAACGATATTATGCAAGAACTTGCTCCTGGACTTGATCTATCAACTTTTGGACAATTGTAAGTATATCTAAGTTTTTTCATGCAGTTTATATACATTTAATCCAGAATCACATGTGGGTATCTTGAACAAATCTTTGACGAACAAAGAATGAAAGGCTCGGCAGAAGCAGGATAGGCGGCATTCAATCCTGTTGAAATGTGATAGAAATCCTCTCTTTATGTTTGTTACGTCTCATTTTCTTACGGCATGCATGCTCTCATTACTCGTGTCTTGGATTTGCAGATAAAAGGAATAACAGAACATTTGCTTTTTGCCTCGTGCAGGTCTCCAGAGATGCTCGAGTCTCAACAGAACTGTTGTATTATGTGAGAGAGATTTGTATTTTCTTTGTCCGAGAAAGGAAGTATATGCTCCTCCTAGGAAGTGTATGTAAGAATCGTTAAACGATATTTTGATAAAATGAAACACACTTTGTCTTGTGTTTTTTGTCTTGTGTTTTATCCCATGTAACACATGAATGTTTTAAGGCAATAAAATATGAAAGATGAGGTATTCCTTCAGTTTTGCTGTTTATTGTCTTGCCACTTGGTTACTTATCTAAATTTATACTACATGGTAGATGATATAGCACGTAGAAGTAATGGGATAAACCGGGGGTTCGGCCTTTATAGGCCTTTGAATGGCTCGGCCTTTTGTGGGCTCGGTCTTTGTTGGTTCTGCTTGAGGCTCGGCCCAAAGGGGCGTAATAGTGGCCCAACTGCAGATCATTCAGTGGTTCAGATTTAAATGGGCTTGGCCTAGCACATTCGTATCCGTGGAGCTTAAAGAGGGGGTGTGGGAGTTGTTTGACGGCCCATTATGGAACAAAGTGGCTGTAAGGGCAGTGTGTGAGGGACACGTGTAGTGTCAAGATGAGGTGAGCCTGGATCATCTAATGGGCAAGGACCGAGGCGTGGGAAAGAAGTAAGGTCAATACTTATAAATAGGTAAGGTTGGGTGGTAGGTAAAGGAGACACTCTACAAACCCTAACCCTACTTACAATTATGTAGGATTCTCTTATACTCTTCTATTCCTTACTGACTTGAGCGTCGGAGAGTTACCGCCGGGAGCACCTCCCGGCGTCATTGCAGGTCTTCAAGAGCTTGAACCGGGCGAGGAACGGAAGGGAACCGGGTCGAGGTGTGGAAATGTTATCAATTGGCGCCGTCTGTGGGACAAACTATTTTCTCTTACCGATTGAGGATGACGAACACAATCGCGGATAACCAATCAAGGAGAAATTCAGACGATGGTTTGGAAGAGGCATGGGTAGCAAGGACACCCTATGGTGGAGGGCCACCAAAAGGATGGGTTGCTGGAGAGGGCTCGATGACTACTCCCCTTGTTCCCCCGTCGGATCAGGAGAAGGGATCGGCGACTCAAGGAGCGGGCCAGGAGATAGTAATACGGGCATTGGTGCCAGAGGCGGTACCAGAAGGTGGAGAACCAAGGATGCAGATGACCAGAGAAGAATTGGATTGCATCGTTGCGGAGGCGGTAGGTCGGGCGTTGGTTGCACGAGACGCGGCGATGAAGGAGAAGCATACCACCATGATAGAAAGGCCGGGTGTGGAGGCGGAACGGTCCGCTGAAGTGGTGGAACGACCTATTGTGGCCGTGGAGCGACCAATTGTTAGGGTCGAGCAGCATGTCCCCGGGATATCCAGGCCTTTAAGGGGCGGTAGTCCTCGCAGAGATGATCAAGAGGAGAGTTCAGTGATATCGCCAGTGGTTCCGAGGCAGTCCAGGGATGCGCTGATGGAGCAGATGGCTAATCAAATAAAAGAGCTCCAAGCAAGGGTGGAAGGCAGGCGACATCTCAGGATGCAGGGTCATCCCTTCACCAATGACGTTTTGGGTGCCGATCTGCCTCACAGTTTTAGGGAGCCGAGTATATACTACGATGGGTCCTCAGATCCGGCAAGGCATTTGCGGAGTTTTGAGAATGTCGCGGTCTTGCATCGGTATAACGATGGCGTCTGTTGCAGAGCCTTTTTGACAACCTTGAAGGGTCCGGCACAGGACTGGTTCCATCAGTTACCCGCAGGATCTGTCCACAGTTTTGACGCGTTTAGCTCGCTATTTATCAATCAGTTCTCTAGTGCAAGGAAACACGAGAAGACGTATATGTCCCTAATGAACATGCAACAGTGGGAGAATGAATCCTTGAGGGAGTACGTGGCTAGGTTTACCCGCGCGTGCGTAGAGGTCCCTTCGGCGACTGAGGAGATAAAGGCTGGTGGGTTGACGAGGGGATTGAAAGCGGGGCATTGCAGAAATTCACTGGCTAAGAAGCCCGCCCGATCTTATGACGAATTGTTGGAAAGGTGCACCAGGTATATGAATATGGAGGAAACGAAAGTTGATTTTGATGCACATGACAGGCACCGACCAGAAGATAGAAAGTCATGAGAAAAGAACTATAGGAGTGATGACCGGGTAAGGTCCTTATGAGCTAAGGGATCCACAGGGTAAGGTCTTTCTCAAGCCTTGAAATGTTGTTACTCTCAAGAAGTATTATTGTCAGTTTGATTGTAACTCTGAATTGTTTTTGAAACATTTATGCTTTGGTTATTGGATTTGGTTGTTGCATTAAGGATAACTAGAAGTTATTTTGAAACATTTATGTCTTGGTCTGATGAATGATCTAAGTGTGAATGACCCGTAATACAGAACAAAAAGTGTGTGACGGCTTAAGGCTGAGCTCTTGGGAGTTCGGGTGCTGTTCAAAGTGTGTGTCGGCTTAAGGTCGAGCTCTTGGGAGTTCGGGTGCTGTTCAAAGTGTGTGTCGGCTTAAGGTCGAGCTCTTGGGAGTTCGGGTGCTGTTCAAAGTGTGTGACGGCTTAAGGCCGAGCTCTTGGGAGTTCGGGTGCTGTTCAAAGTGTGTGACGGCTTAAGGCCGAGCTCTTGGGAGTTCGGGTGCTGTTCAAGGTGTGTGTCGTCTTAAGGCCGAGCTCTTGGGAGTTCGGGTGCTGTTCAAAGTGTGTGTCGGCTTAAGGCCGAGCTCTTGGGAGTTCGGGTGCTGTTCAAAGTGTGTGACGGCTTAAGGCCGAGCTCTTG